GACAGCAGCTTTTCACTGAGTAGGACTTATCCTTTGACCTTACTTAGCCTGATGCTCCTTCCTTCTATCTGACCCCAAGGGCATCCCTCAGTACGCTCCTAAGTCATCCTGTTGGCCAGCCCCGGAGCAGGCACAGTTCATTGTCAAGTCAGAGTAAAGAGGGAGCTCGGTCTTCTGTAGGCCCATGAAACTGACTAGATGAGCTCTAGGGCCTGAGCAGCTCACTGGTATTGAACGTGGTCATTGGGAAATTGGAAGGGAAGTCAGTGATTCCAGCAGACCTGGACAGCTATCTGTAAATCCTCTGGTGGAATTTTCCAAGAGATGAGAGAATGGGGGGGGGGGGGGGACCTGCTGGCCATCCTCCAGGACCCTTTATCTACCTCAATTCAAGACTCTGTCTCTTCCTTTCTTGAACTGGCATGGCAGTTTTCAGGTGTTTATTAAGGACCTACTGTATGCCTAACTGTGGCTTCATTTCTTAAGATCTTGCTGGGGCCTCCTGACCTGCTGGTTTGGCAGTGAAAGTTGGCCCAGCCTGACCCTATAAGCTTAAGGAGCAGTACCTTGGTTATGGAGGAGGAGCCATAGCAGAGTGAAACATCCAGATTGGTAGATGTATCCTTGAAAATCAGGGTTCATCTTTTGGGAAGTCCTATAAGGGATTGGAGAAGTAACCTAGCTCACTTTGCCCTAAAGAGTGGGGACACTCCACCACCACAGACCCTCCTTTGACTTAGAGAGGGGCATTTGCTTTGGTCTGCCAGTCTTAGAGCCTGGCTTTGCTCCCTAAGCCATGGGAAGGCAAGAAGGCAAAGAAGTCTTTGCCCCTTCCTCCCCTTTGTAGGCCCTTCCCCAGCTGCTTTGTCCAGTGTTTCTAGTACCCAGTTGTCACTGGTCTTTTCACTGTGCTAATGGCCACCCCACTTCGGAACGAAGGTACCCAGCTGATGTGCCTTTCTAACACCCAGCCTGTTGCCATGGCAATGGTAGGCACTCCTGTTACTGCAGAATATTGCTTTCTTGTAGCCTTCCTCCCTTTCCCTCTCTCACACACAAAAAGAAAGCACAAGTGTTTTATATTCATTTTGCAAACGGCTGTGCAGTGCATACTAATTGTCTGGCTTGCTCCTGACTTCCCAGGGCCTTATCCAATTCCAGGAGCCAAGGCCTTGCAGGAAAACCCCAGCCAGGAAAGAAGACAGCCTAGCCAGCCAACGAGAAGTAGGTAGGACTCTTTTTTCTGGAGGTAGGAGATCAGGAGAAAAGTAGCCTGACATCTGTTTCTGTAGGGCTGTTGGTCCCTCGGGCCCTTAGTGTATCCTGTAAAGAGGACCTTCATGTTTATCTCCTTGCCTCAGGGATGTCCCTTCATATATTCCCAAGGGCTGTCCCACATCTGAGGCTTAGAGATCCTAAAAGCCCAGGAAATGAGTCTGAAACTGCACCCGAAAGGGCAGCCCCTTTGCCCCTTGCAGCACTGAACCCTGTGATTCTGAGGACCCAGGTGAGCCTTGGTGGGGAGGGGGGAAGGGGAGAGGTCTTTCTGGGTTCCACACTGGTGCTTTTACTGCCTCTTAACTCTCTAATTGCTGTTCTTCCCAAAGAGAGGGAGGCATAGATGGAGGACATGACTTGCCCAGAGGCAGAGGCCAAGACTAAGTTAGGATTGGAACCCAAGGCTCTGGACTTTGCTGCTGCACAGCTGATCCCTTCAGCCGGAGTGTGAGGCCAGGGTTTATAGCCTCAGATGCCGCAGAGCATGTCATTCTCCCCCCTACCTCCACCTGTCCCTCTGCTTTCTTCCCAAGTTATCTCTGAGAAGTGGGTAAGCCTGCAGCTAGGGTGACCGTTCTCTGTGCTCTCTTCTGAGAAGCAGCTTTGTGTATGGCCAGCCAGTTGCACCTGAGATGAGACAGGTGGGCTTTTGCCAGCCATCAGGTGCCAGAGACTGGCTGTCAAGGTTACTTCTGGAACCCAAAAGCTAAATTTTGTACTTTAATTGTGTAACCAAAATTTAATTTGCTCCTTGGCGTTAAACTTTTTAAAATAAGAGAATTAAATATCTAAACTCTACCACTTCTCTGACTGTCTCCTCTGGGTCTACCCTTGTGATCCTGGAGGGGAGAAGGGGCAAGATCACACAACCTGTCACAGCTCGGGCCCGCTTTAGACGGGGAATCACAAGCTGGGCACTCGACGGACGACATGCATCAATGTATCTTTTAACCTGAGACTGACACGTGTCAGAAGTAGGTACCTATCCAGGCAGCATGAAAGCCAGCCCTGCCCATTTGGGCCCCCCGGCCACCTCCTGTGGCAGAGGAGCGCACTCGGCCCTTGATGCTCAGAGTTTGCTGGTTGTCGCAGAGAACCAGGCATCCGGTCCAACAGCAACCATTTATTGAGCGCCCGTAGCGCGCTAGGTGCTAGGCTGAGCACAGAAGCGTTGGTGCCCCACCACGGATGCCGAACGTAGACGTCCCTGAGCCTCACCTGAACGTGCCTTCCCAGCCAGCTGTTGCTGAGTGGGCTTTAGTTTATTGACTCCTTTCTCTTCGTGACCACGTTTGCTCTGTGTTTGCCTGATGTCTCAAGTCATCCCTCTTCCAGGAGAGATGGAAGGTGAGCTAGGCAGCTAGCTAGAGGTGGCCAGAAGGCCGAGACCCCTTAGAGACATAAGGTCATGTGGCTTGTGCCTCATTGTTTGACCTTGGGCAAGTCACGTCCCCTCCTGATGCCTGAGTTGTCTTCCTTTATAAAATTAAGGAGGGAGAAGTATATTTGCTCAGTAGGAGGAAATAGTTCCTATAGCCTGGGGTCCACATGTCCCAAGTAGTCAGGGAGCTGGGAAGCAGCCATTAGCACGGCGGTGGCATCCTCCCTGATAGCACAATGGTCCTCCTGGCTCGTTCTCAGCTTCCTCCCAGGGCCCTTCTCATCCCCTCCGTTCCTTTTTGCTTCCATTGCTGGAGCACAGAGCATTCAGTCTGCTGGCTGCTTTTCCCAGCGGAGAGCTTCAGCCAGTTATTTACCTTGTTTGTGAACACAGGGACCTTCCCTGTTTCTCCGAGCCCTTGTCTTGCCAGTTTGCTGAATTCTGATCTCTAAGAGCTCTGAAACACTCTGCTGTGGCATTGGCTGCTGCTTTGACCTCTGGTAGCATTCCTGCTGTTATTCTGTGTTTGTGTTGCTAAGTACATTCACGCCCACATGTGTACAGAGTGAGGGGATGCTGAGTTTTCTTTTCAGCCATTTCATCCTAAATTCATTTACTGAAAACAGAATAAAATTCTGAACTCGTCAAAGTACAGTTAAGTGTTTGTCATATAGGTCAACGGTAAGTGGATTTTAGGGATGAGACAAAGGTAATTATATAATTGGTTAGAGATCAGGGAAAGTGAGTGTATTAGTTCTGTGCCCAGACTATGTGGGATGGAAGAACCCTCCCTTTTCTTCCGATCAGTCTGGGGAGGCTTCATGGAAGGGCTTAGATTTCAGGAGTTCCTGCTGTGATAGGAGAAATCGCTTAGTAACTTGTTGAAGAACAGACATTTCAAGCACCCCGTGCTGCTTTGGAGAAGGCTTGAAGGCATGTGAACAGAAGAATGGACTTTGAAGGGTCAGACTGGGCCTGAGAAGGAGGGGAGGATCCGGGGCTTGACTGAGAACAGGATCAGGCTTTCAGGAGTGGAGGCCTGGCAGGAGCAGAGGGCTGTACCGCACCAGAAGGGCAGTCATTCATCAAAAAAGAGGCATCGAGGTACAGTTGTGTCAGTGTGCAGTCTGGCGGCGGAGCCCTCAGAGACAATGTGAGCGTGAGGCAGGATGGCGGAGAGAAAGTGGACGACTCCATCTTGGAGCGAAGGGACACATTCTGACATGTCCTGGAGACGGTGGGCAGTGCCCTGTGGATCTGAGCTGCTACAGTCACAGTGCCCTTTGTGTGCTGTGTAGTGGGAAAAGCAAGAGACCTGGAGCAGAGCCCTGGAGGGACTTGTTTCGGGGGGAGGGGAGTTGATAGCAAATCGTGGGAATGTACTGATTACTCAGACAAGTGCCAGTCAGCGAGGAGGTTGGATGCCATCACTAGGGTGGTCGGGAATATAACATAATGTTTGTGCCTGGTCTCCCTCCTGAGCTGTCTGAACTGCTGCCCTGCCTCTCCCGGTGCAGTGGCTGCCCTCAGCATGTGCCCGCTGGAGTAGAGAGAGGCAGGCTCATCATCAGAAGACTGCCTGGCCATGGGGGACTGAAGTTTTTGGCCCAAGCCACTCACGAAATCCATAAGGAGTAGAAGAGGTGTGACTTTTGATAGAAGTGGAGGTACTGTTCACATCAGTGAAATCACAGAGCTTCTGAACTGTTGTAGCATGAAGGAGGAGAGCTCAGGCCACCCTTGCTCCTCAGGCCAGCATGGGCCAGGGTCGCTTGACATCATTTTATCAGTATTGTGGCATAATGTCTTAAACAAGAGGAGAAACTGAGGGGGGAAATGGCTCAACATGGGCCCAAGGAGAGATGCCAAAACAGACACAGGGAGTGAACTGTACAGGCTGAAGTCTAAGACCCTGGGTCACTGATTAGTCCCTTTTCCCCTTGAGCTCCCCTGATTCTTATCCAGAGACTTAATTCTCCATAGATGACGAGGCAATGAGATACGGTTTGGTTGGCAGTCTTCAAATCTCAAGATTTTCTCTTCAATAAATTATACTGTTTTTCTTATTGTTGGCCATCACATTACATTTACATAATGTTTAAAGTGCTTTCTCATTGTTGATCTCAGACGGTTCTCACAACCAACCAAATTTGCTGACTTTGTTTCCCCTTCCCAAATCTTGAAATCTGATTTTTAATCTTGCCTGTCATGTTCCTCCATATTCAGAGTTAGGCCTTCAGTTTATGAAGGGGAAAGGGTTACTAAGCTTCTCCCCAGCTCATGTATGGTGTGTCCTGTCCTCTAGCTCTTATCCCTGGTTACTCTGTTTTTCTCCCCTAAGGTTATCCTGAAGGATTTGGAGGTTTTGGCAGAAATTGCATCATCCCCCGCAGGCCAAACAGAAGGTCCCGGCACCTTTGACAGTCCCAACCTGCGGGTCAACCACTTGGATCTGCAGGTGCCCACCTCCGGCAGAGCCAGCCTGCTGGGTCCTCCAGGTAAGCATTCCCCTGGAGTTGGCATGCCAGGAGAAGCTGCTGCCCTGCCTACCTAGCCCTGAGGGCCTTGACAAGTCAGGTGTCCTTTTCTTCCTCCAGAAGCAGGGCAGTTCACTGGACTGTATCATTCCTTAGCCCTGGAGCTCAGCCACAGTCTGAGTATAGAGTTTCTTAGGCCTAAGTGATCATAGAGTTTCCTGTCAATGATTTTTTCCCCACCCTGAAGGACTGCAAATGTCCAGAGACTTCTTCCTTTGCACTCTGATCCCACCTCAAGCCATAGGAGATGAGGAAAAGCCTTTCTTCCCTTCATACCTACCTTCTTCCACACCTGGACCAACCACTCTTATTGACACTCAGTAACATTCCCTCACTGTAAAACTAATGGGCTTCGCGTAGCTTTTCCCCGGGACAGCTCCGGATCCTGAACCCAACTTCCACGAACTCCAGGCCAGCTCAGGACATGGGGCCCTCTGGATCAAGCACCTGCCCATCATGGAGTTGTGTATGTTTCAGGGACAGAGCCTCCTCTGCCCTTTGCCAGGAGCCTTAGGACTGGGGGTGGCCTCAGGTGCACAATGACCAGGCTGACAGCGCCTTTTTCATTAAAATCTAAAAATAGTGGACATTGTGGCAGGCAGCCCAGACAGAAGATAGGAATGATTCAGACAGGATGCTGGAGAGCAAACCGGGGGAGCAGAGGCCACTTGGGGCTCTGCCTCACCTTTCCATGCTTCACCTCTTGTCACCTTTCCACTTTAGAGGTTTATTGTTTTGTTTTCCTTTTTTTTTATATATGTTTTATTTTAACTTTTATTGTGAAGTGCAGATTAAGGAGCATGCAAGGTGAAGTGGGTTTTCAATGATTCTGTGCGTCCATAAACTTGGGCTGTTGACAGCCCCCTGGCTGGCTGTTTATTCCGTCCGCTGCCCAAGAAGAGAGTGTGGCCTTCCCCAGTGCCCTGCCCACCCGTCTTCACCCATGGCACCGTTCACTGAGGCCACAGTTGATGGGGATGTGTTTTTGCTTTTGCTTTCTTTGCTCTGCTTTGCTTCACCTATATCTCCTGTCCTTTAGATTTTCCGTATGTCTCACATCTTAGTGTGCAGTGTTCTTCCTGCGTTCGTTAGCCACAGTGTGTTTAGCCATTCCCCAGCTGATGGGCACCTTCTTTGTTTCCTGTCTTTTGCTATTATGTGTTGCTAGGAATATTTTTATACAGGTTGGGTTGTTTCTCTGTCATTAACTTGCTTGGGGAATAATCCCAAGAATGGAGTCACAAGCTCTGCATACTTTTATGGCTTTGTTTAATTCCTTATTGCATTCCCAAAAGGATGGACCAGTCTCTGGCTCCTCTGCACGGTACTTATAGCATGCCTGGTTTGCCCTTCAAGCACCAGCATTGGCTTTTCTCTTTCATCATCCTGCCGGGTCGATGCATGCTAGGTGAAATCTCTCACTTATTTTAATTTGCATTTCTTGGATTATTTGAGATCTTGAACATTTTTTTTCACATATTGTCAGTAATTTGTTTCTTTCCACCAGTGTGTGCCCCAGCTCCTTCTGCCCTCGGCTTGTCAGGAGAGATATCGTGACCCCGCGAAGATGACCCTGATGTAACGCCTGGGGCATCTCTGATGCCTCGGTTAGGGTGGCTCCATCTAACGAGGGAGCAGTTGTCCACATCCTCGGACGTTACTTACGTGCTCCTTCGTTTGTTGTCTCTCGTCCTACGTGGTGATCGCTGAGCAGTGGGGCGCTGCTGACGCAGAGGGAGCTCCGAGAGGCCTTCCCTTAGCCCTGCTCTGCATTTCAGTGGCTGTGAGGGTGCAGCAGCAGCCACCCCATTCCAGCACCTGGCTGATGGCGTAGCAAGCGCAAGGGGCTTGAGTTCAGGAGGCCTGGAATGACATTTCCTAGATCCATTAACCACTCTGAGCCTCAGTTTCTTCTTTTGTAAAATGGGGCAGGTAATATCTGTCTTACCTGCCTCGCAGGGAAGCTGAGGAAAATATGCCCCCAAAGTGCTCTGCAAACGTGAGCTGCTCTCAGTGGACTAGGAGCGAAGAGTCGGCATCCCCTTCCCTCAGATCCCCTTCCTGTGCTGCCTGATGGCTGGGAAAGGGGTACGTGGGGGCAGAAGGCTTGTCAAGGAAGGAAATGAAAGGATGTGAGCACGCCCCAAATAAACCGGCCTGTTTCTTTTTGCAGAAAGAGGGGACAGTTGAACCCTCTTTCTCATCATTTACATTCTAGCTGCATCCAATCCTTGGCTGCCGCCTGGTTCTCACTAAAGATGGAAGAGGAAAGGGGAAGGGCCTTCCAACCTCACCCTGACTTCTCTTTCCCATTCTGCCCAGGATACACTTGTTTCCGTGCCATTGAATGGGCTTCCTTTAGGCATTCAGTAGCTGCAGTCAGGAAAGCAACATCCCACTTCCTGAGTCTTGCTCAGGATTGCTTCCACTCTGACAGACCATCTTTCCCCTTCTTTTCTCTCTTCTCCCCCACTCCTCACCCCCAGCACAGCTAAGAAGTGGGTGCTCTCTTAGCCTCACAACTTAAGACTGATGGATGGAGTAATTTGTAGAACAGTTCTTACAAGAGAAGAGTGCGTCGTCCTGGGGCGTTGAGATCTGGCAGACTTTGTCTTCCTCATAGTGGGAAGGACCTGAGAGAGAAGAGAGGTTAAGATTGAGAACAGCTTGTGGGTGGGGAGGAGGCCAGCGGAAGAGGCGAGTGCTTTAGCGTCAACACCTCATGTCTCCTGGTGCCAGGAGGATTTATCATATTCTCTGATTCCCAGTTACTGAAACACAGAGTTATTTGAGGCAGAACAGTCAGAGAGAGTGCCAGTCTCAAGGCACAGCCGAATGCTAAGGCCACTCTCTTGCTGAGGCCTTCCTGTGATCCCACAGGATCCTAGTCTCCCCATCTTTAGAGACCCCTTTTCTAACACAAAGGAGACTGTCTCCACGCAGTGAGGGTGGGCCTCTAAGCAGAGCCTGCGTATATCAAAGGACTCACTGACCCTGTTTTTCTTTAGAATTAGATTGTTTACCAGCAGAGGCCCTGAAGGGCGATGGCAGGTCTGGATTTTTGAGTTGTCCCAGCTACGTGGGGAGAAGATGGGGCGAGCACCCTTGGGACAAGTAGGGACTGGCAAAGCCTCAGGTCTGTCTCATGTCTGGGTCCTTACTGTCTAGAAGAGTGAGTAGGTTATCCTGGGGGATGTGAAGCATCTCCTTTTGGCATAGGTGCTTCCGAAACATGGAATGGGGGGAGTTATAACGGAGGCAAAGCAAGGGGACTGTTGCTCTGTCTGCTTCTAGGGCTGTTGGCCTGGCAAAGACCACTATATACTTTATTCCAAATTTACAGAAATGATGAGATAGACTGATCAGGAGGGAATCCTAGTCTGAAAAGAGTTATAGACAGCTGTTCACTAAACTCTGTGATCTCCTTGACTCTCCCTACCTTTCTAAGAATACTGGGGATACTGATAGAGAGACAGAGGCCCAGTGAGGCAATATGACCAACCCAGAAGGAATCCAGCAAGTATCAGAATAGACAAAGGCCCTGGCCCTGGGCCCAGCCTTTACGGCCTTTTCTCTGAAGGTGAGGGGACATACCAGTGGCTGACGAGGTTTGGGGTGACTGGGGGAAGCAAACGGTCAATCAAAGTTGCCCTCTGGGCAGCCCCTTCTCCCTTGATTTCTCAGACTCGTGAAACGTGGTGGGGGGAGGAGAGGTTGTCTGTTCTGTGTCCTGTTCTTGCTGCATACATAAACCAGAGGCCACAAGGCCAGACCCTCTTCCTGTTTGGGGAACGGCTTCCCTCCCATTCTCAGGAGTGTAGCTTTTAGGACTTAACAGTCTAAACTCTGCTTTGTTGCTTCTTTTTATGGGTTTGATTCCCTCCCCTTCCCCCATCACATACGCAAAGAGATTTTTTTTTTTTAAAGCATAGGAGACAGGGCATCTAGGGAAAACCATAAGGTTTTATAGGAAACTGAACGCCCCTCTCTTCATGTTGAGTCTGAAAGCCAAAGCTGTCAGGGACTTGGGTACAGTGACAAGAAGTGGAAAATGACATCATGGAAGAAAGGTCGGTGCTGCGCCAGCCTGTTGTGATGTGGCTGCCTCGGAGGGGGGTGGGGGGGCTTCCTCTTTTGGGCTGCCCCAGAGGTGACGGCCTGCTTGTCCTTTCCCTTTGCACTCCTTATCCCTGTTACTTGCTCTTGTCTGTTGGAGACGCTTCTGTCCGTGGAATCCCGGGCCAGGAAGGAGAGCAGTTTGTGGGGCCGGCGTGAGGTGGTAACGTGACTGCCAGAGATGGCGGCCGTGACAGAGGCCAAATCCATATGCTGCTTCTCACGAAGACGCAGGGGCGGACGTCTCGGTGTTTTCTGGAGGCGTTTCCAGCTCCTAAGTCTGGTGTCCCAGAATGAGGAAAACCTTTTGGGCCTGGTGTGACTCAGCTTATGTCTGTGCTTTTCCCCCTCCCTTTCACCATTTGGTTACTCGAGGGTGGGAGAGCCTTGCCAAGCCCCTAAGAGGAGGCAGTGTGACTCCTGCTGGGATATTTCTCGGTCCCCTCAAAGGGTCACAGCCAAAGTGTAGAATCTTTGATCAAAAGACTGGTCTTTGGCTCGTCCTTCCTCGATTACTAGGCCCACCAAGTGACCCAGGACACTTCTATGCTACAGGAAAAGTGGATAGCCAGGACACCTGGAGAGACACAGATTGGCAGGATCCTACAGTTTGGGCCTATGTGCCTGACTGGTCCTGCCAACGTGGGGCAAAAAGAGTTCATGTCAAGGCTGGTCCACCCCTCCATATTCATTCCACTGGCCTTGCCCTTCCTGCCACAGAACCCTTTCCTCCTGAGAGGTGGGTGTTGCTCTTGGTGCCAGACCCCAGGCCTGTCCCCAGACACAGAGCCACCCAAAGGGAGCTGGAGAGGCATCCTTCCCTCCCCAGCTGTCTTTTCAGCCCC